CTTTTTATTTTGAAATAACTTCAGGCTTACAGAAAAATTGCAAAGGGAATACAAAGAATTCCCCTATATGCTTCACCTGTTCCCATAATGTTAACATCTTTGCCCAAAACAATGATTGCTATAGTGGTTGCCAGACAGTAATTTTTCCATCATTCCTTCTACATTTTTTTGTTTGCTTGTTTGTTTTTTGTTTGGCAGGTGGCTGGTTTGGGGATCATTCTGCTTTTTTTAGTTGGAATTTTGTAATAAGGAAGACCTTTATTCCTTCTTTCCTTCCTTCCTTCCTTCCTTCCATCCATTCATCAGTATGTGCTATGAATTTTTACTATAGCCTTTGAGTTATAATGTGTTATTATTATGAATAATTTGGATGTTTAGTTGTCCAAGATTTGGCTAGTGGAAGTACTTTGAGTTGACTCTTATATCCTTCTTTACATATTCTATCATTCTTTGAGCATTTCCTTACATTCTGGGACAATAAGATGTTCCAGGCTCATCCTTTCCAGTCCTGGAATCAGTCATTTCTCCCAGGATTTCTGGCTCCTTTTAGTGGAGAATGGTGTTTAGAAACCATGATATGAGTGTGAGGTGTGCTTCTTGATACTGGGGTGTCGTTGCTTTCTTCATTCTATCTGCAGAAAGAACTAGGAAATAATTATCTCTCTATATATCTTTCTATCTCATCCAGCTATCTGTCTGTCTGTCTATCTTAAAAACCATGGATTCATACTGATGCTTCCTATTCCAATTCAGCATCACAGGGCTCATTCTAGTCTTCCCCCTTTCTGTATTTGTAGTTCCCTTCTCTGACAATGAGGAAACTGCCTTTCATTAACCACAATATGTTTGTTAATTTTGTTAAACCCTAGAATATACAAAGTTTCAAAATTGCTATGCCATACCACTGTGAAAAACAAACTCAGTATAGTTCAATATTTGTCTGTAGATTTTTGTACTTAGCCTGAGGGTATATAGTTAAAAGTTCAAAAGTTACTTTGGTTGGTTCTACACCCCTTTTCAATGTGGCTAGGTTATTAATTTGGAATCTAGTTATGTTCATTTATTTCTGTTTCTTTTCATTTGGAGCCTCCCCCACCCCCGCACATTGTTGATTTTCTTTACTTATATTTTGAGCATGTGAAACAATAGCAAGGTTTAAAAGTCAGAACTATAGCAAAAGGTATGCTCTGAGAAGTGTCCTCCATCCTTTCTACCCCATTCCCATCTCCCCCATATTTTCTACCCATTCAGCTCACTCCCTTTGTATAATCAACCTCATTTAATTTCTGGTTTATCCTCCTTATGTTTATTTTTTCACAAATGAACAGATATATTTTATCATACACAAAATGCATAATACCATAGATACTCTTTTACATTTTGTTTTTTAACGTAACAGTATATTCTAGTTATCACTCCATATCTATTTATAGAGATCTTCCTCATTCTTCTTTATTGTCACACAGCACTCCAATGTGTAGATGAATGTTTCCAGTATCTTGCTGCAACAGATAACCTTATATATGTGTTTTCATGTTGTTGGAGGTGTATTTTCAGTTTCTAAAAGTGGACTACTAGGTCAGTATGCAGTTTTGTTAGATATTGTGAAATTTCTCTCCAAAAGGTCGTGCCAATTTGTATTTCTACCAGCAATTTATGAGAGTGCTTGCTTCCGCACAGTCTCACCAACAGAATGTGGAGGTCATTGTTTTTATTTTTTGTCAGTCTGATAGGTGACAAATGGTATCTCAGGGTAGCTTAAATTTGCTTTCTCTAATTATGAGTGAGACTAGACTTCTTTTCATATTGCTAAGGGCCATTTTTATAACATTTTTGTTGTGAAATGTTGGTTTATATATTCTGCCTATTTTTCTATTATTTTTGTCTTATTTTCCCCTCAATGTTTACAAATTGTGGTAAAATACAGGTACACAAAATAAATCATCTTAACTATTTTTTAACATACAGTTCAGTAGTGTTAAGTATTTTCACATTGTGGTGCAACCAATCTTCAGAACATTCTCATCTTGCAAAAGTGAAATTCTATCCGTATTAATTAAAAGTTCATCATTTACTCCTCCCCCCCAGCCTCTGGAAACTACCATTCTATTTTCTGTTTCTGTGAATTTAACCACAAGTAATACAGTATTTGTCTTTTTATAATTGGCTTGTAATTTCACTTAGCATAATGTCTTTAAGATGCCATCATCCCCTAAATTTTAAAGCATTCTTCGTAATTTATCTGAGATGTATGTTGCAAATATTTTCTCCCAGATTGCCAGTTGTCTTTTGACTTTTTTTCTTATAACATTTTTGCCGTGCAAACATTTTTATTTTTATGTAGTCAAAATTTATCCATCACTCTTAAAATTTTTGTATATGGAATTTGATACATAGTTAAGAAATTTTTCCCTACTCTCAAGTTATAGAATATTTTAACCTCTTTCCTCCCCCCCCAAATTGCACCTATATTTTATTTATTTATTTATTTATTTTTAGTAATCATTTACACAGATCCCACTGTGTTTTATTTAATTATTTTTGACAGTTTTGAGTTTATTTATTTATTAATATTATTCTTTTACATTCTGTGATGTTGTTGTGGAGGAGTTGGTAGGGAAGGGGAGAAGGGAAAGGGGGAGGAAATAGGGTAGAAGGAGGAAGGAGGAGGGGTGGGGTTGAGGCCTGTGGCACCCCCCTCATTCCTGCACGGGAGACCAGGGGGCTTCAGGCTGTGTCTTGGTCATTGCTGGGCTGGGTGCAGATGTCAGGGGGATGTGGCTAAAGCCCTCTCCCCCTCACTGCCCAGGCTCAGGAGCCTGGGGCTCTTCCTGTGGAGACTCAGTCAGGACTGGGTGGGTTGTGACTGTTGGGTGGCGGCATAGTCAAGGTGCTCGGTCCCCTCACCCCCCCCAGCTCAGGAGAGCCTGGGTGTTTCCTGCAGCAGCTCGGTGGTCATGGCTGGGCTGGTTGCAGGTGTTGGGGGGTCTGGCTGAGGCCCCTTGCCCTCCCTCCTCCTTGGCCCAGGGGAATTCCAGTCCTTCTAGGTTTTATAGATGTTCTTTGGTGATGTGAGACCTTTACTAGTTAATATGAAACTTTGTCTCTGGTCTGTGGGTATTTGTTTTTCTTCCAGTTCTGTGTTGGATGATTTGCTGTTCCTACCACTTAAACTCTGCACTGGAACTAATTTGTTATCCTTTGCTTACTTTAAAATGGGGAACTTCCTGTGGGGGCCAGCACTTGTGCTCTGTGGTTGAGCTAAATTGTTGCTTTGCTGCTGATTCCCTGGGGAAGGCTTTTTGTGTAGCTCAGGTTTTAATGGTTGACTTTATAGGTACTTCTGGCTCTCAAGAGATCCGGTACACCTGGGTTGTGTAGAAACTCTGGACTGGCCCTGAGTCTTTTCAGCAAACTGAACCCCCTGCAGTTCTATATTCTTGAGCAGTCTCCACTGAGTGGCCCTGTGCTGATTGGGGGGCAGACTGTCTGTCCATGCTATGCCCCAGTGTTCTCCCAGTGGGCCCATCTCCCCCACTGCCTGTGCTCCAAACACTTCCTGTGGGGCCAGCCATTTGCCGGTCCCTTGCGATGACTCACAGGCCTCTAAGTGGCTCCTTTTTTACAGTTGTTGTGGCTCCTCACTTCTCTGTCAGTCCACGGGAACCCTGTTGGTGGTACTGGTCGCCTGAGGGCCACCAAGGCCCTCTTCTCCCCTGCCGCCTCCAAGCAACTTCATAGGAAGGGCACAGCTGCATCATTTGCCAGCTCCTGCTCCATGCACTCACCAGCTCCAGACTTGAAGCAGCTGAGGCTCAAAACAGTCGCAGTGGTTCGTTCTTTCTCTCATCATGGCTTCTCCCACTTTCATGCATTCTGTAGGTCTCTCCTCCTCTTCCCCTGGGCTCTAGTGGCCCCAGTTTGGTTGTTGTTGGTTTTTAATAGTTGTAAATTGGTTGATTTGTGGGAGAGAGTGATGCTGGCAACCATCTATTCCACCATCTTGACTGGAAGCCCATCCTTTTTTTAATAGTCCTTGTATAGTTTTATTGTTTAAATTAAATTCCTGATCTGTTTGGAGTTTATTCTTGTGTATGATGGAAGGTATGGATTAATTTATTTTTATCCAAATAGCTAACTAGTTATCCTAGAACTGTTTATCAAAAGCTGGTGATTTGAGATGCCATGTTTATCACATGCTGAGTTTTCTGATGTACTATTCTAATTCTGGGCTTTCTATTATTTTCTATTAGTCTGTCAATTCATTCACCTGTATGACACTGTTTTAATTAAAAAGGTTTTATAGAATGTTTTAATGTTTCTTAGGGCTAGTCCTCCATTGTAGGTTTTCTTTCTCAGAGTTTTCTTGGCTATTCTTGCTGTTTATATTTCCACATAAATTTTAGGATCAACTAGTCTAGTTCCATAAAAATTTGTGTAGATTTTTTTCTGGTATTGTGTTAATTTAGGGACAAACAGAAATTTTTATGATGTTGAAAATGTCTTTACTAAAATCAAGTGTTGTCTTTTCATTTGTTTATGTCTGTTTTTTGTCAGGGTACTCATTCTTATGGGAGAATTTATGGAATTGTGTTATACTACTATTGCATCAGAATATAATCTCCAAGAGTGCATGGGCTTTCTCTGTTTTGTTTACTACTGTATACTAAGTATTAAGAACAATGTTTGAATATATGTTGAATTAATAAATATTTATTGAATGAAGCAATGTTAGATAAATGATCTTTGTTTTGCCTTGGGATAATGAAGAATATACTAAGAATATTAATTTGACAAGAACTCCTCATAAATAAAGAAAAGGATAAAATGGTTTCTTTGTAAGACATACTTTTAGATAAAATGGTTTTTGTTCTAAAAACATTATTTTTCAGAATATTTTTTATTCTGAAAAAATGCTGTCTTAGGAAGACAGAGCTCAGGAGTTGCAATGAAATGCTACATCATGCACAACACTTAATTCTTTCTTATTATGTTCTCAGTTCAACTATATATATATGAAACAATGTGTAGAAAGTAGTCCTATAGTACCTATTCAGCAGGAATGGCTGGATCACATGTTAAAGCTGATACCTGAGTCTTTAAAGGAAGGGAAAGAAAGAGAAGAACTCGTTGAAAGTCTCATAAGTGAGGTTTCAAGTGACTTTGAAAACAGCATGAAAAGATACTTGGGTAAGTAGCATTTAACACATAGCAAGCCTCTTTTTACCTTTGCTACCCCAGTCCATGGAATCAAAAGTAAAAGTAAACAAAATGAATAATGAACACTATATATTTAAACTATTTATATTTCTTAGGTATGATTTTTATTTAAAGTTTTTATTTTGGGCCTATAATCTGGTTACAATCTTTGTAAAATTTTTTGTGTTTATTAGCTAATAACTTTTTGATTTTTTACTTTGTCTTTATAGTTTTAGCTATACTCTTTACAAGATTGTCATAAAGTATTAATGTTTTTGGGGAAATTTTTTAGGGGTTTAACCTTCACAATTTTTATTGGAATAATTTTTTTCCTTTTACAAATTGACAAAAATTATATATATTTATTTTGTTTTGAAGTATGTATACATTGTGGAATGACTAAATTGAGCTAATTAACATACGTATTACCTCACATACTTATTTTTTTTTGTGTGTTGAGAACAATTAAAACCTCTGTTAGCAATTTTAAAGAATAAAATAAACTGTTATTAACTGTAGTCACCATGTTATACAATAGATCTCTTGATGTTATTCCTCCTATCTAACTGAAATTTTCTATCTTTTGACCAATATCTCCCCAATTACCCCTTTCTACTGGTAACCATAATAAAATAAATGTTCTTAAATGGCCATCTCAGTTACCTTTGAGTAGATAGAATGTGAAATACTGAGAATGTATTAAAGCTTTTCTGTATCTGAATTCACCTCCGAAGTAAGGCAAAAACAGTACCAAGAGTTGGTTTTGTTATAAATAAAGGAGTTTTTTCTTATACTCATTTTAATGCACAGTAAACTATACCATTCAATATCAAAAGTTAGAACCTTTGATATGAATAGATCTTTTCAGGGATTTTCAAGAAGTATTAATACATATGTGTATTTTAGTGCAGAGTGTTCTTGTTAAACCACCGGTTAAATGGCTTGAAGATGAAGGAGGCCCTTTACCCGAATCCCCTGTGTGAGTAACTTATTTTTTTTTTCTTTTTGTCTTTTTTACTGACCGGTAACGGGATCGCAACCCTCAGTGTTGCGCCCGCACCGCGCTCAGCCAGTGGGTGGGAACCGGTCTCCACATGGGATCCGAACCCTCAGCGGGAGCGCCGCCGCGCTCCCAAGCAGCGCACTCTCCAGTGCGCCACTGGGCCGGCCCTGAGTAACTTATTTTAAAAACAGGACTTCTTCTAGTTTTTGATGCATATTGAAAATAAACTGATCTTACATTAAATTCTGCAATTATGAAGCTCAAAAGTATTTTGAATACATCTAAAAAAAATAGTACTATTATTTTTTCCCCCAAAGGTATCTTCTACACTATGCTTGTCTAGTTCTGCTTATATAACTTTATGAAAGTATAACTTAATTTAGCCTCAAGTAAGCTTGGGTGTATGCCAGACAGATTTTCCCATCCTTTCTGTTCAATCCTAAAGACCATGTTCTTTCACTCTACCTGGGGTAATTGAGCCAGACCACAGTGAAAGTTAGCAGAGCACGCACACCTGGGTCATCAGTTTGCCTTACCCACAGATTATCTCTGAGGATGGTGCATTTTCAAGATCTTGATGTGTTTTTATTAAATGTATATCTCTCCCAAGGCTCCCATTGCTGACCACGATTCCCTTTTCTCAATTCCTAGTTTTTTCAGTTTAATATTAATTCCATTTCATAAACATTATTTCCTAAAATTTAGGGTGTACTGTTTTAATCATGTTTGATATGTTTTTGTTTGTTTGTTTTTGCTTTCCCAGAGGCCTAGATTATTCTAATCCTTGGCATTCTAGCTATGTGCAGGCAAGAAATCAAATATTGTCTAATTTGCACATTGTTCATCCAACTATGAAAATGTTACTGGACCTTGGTTATACAACATTTGCTAATACAGTTTTGCTGGACTTAACAGGAATTAGGTAAAATCCCGTATTTATTAATTAACATTTAAAATTTGAATGTCTTCTTGCTTGAGTCTATATTCTCTATATTTTTGACTGTATAATTTTTAAAGTGATTCATAAATCTTCTAAACTTTTTTTTAGATTTTAGAATTTTAAAATTTTATCTTATTTGTTTCAACAATTGTGTATCAAGATCAATATTATCATTTGCTTCAAATTCTTTTTCTTTTTTTTTCATAAATAGAGCTAAAGGTCCAATAGATTGTGAATCACTGAAAAGTGATCTATCAATACAAGCTAGAAAGGCAGAAGAGAAGATAATGAATGCATGGTATCCAAAGGTTATAAATCTCTTTACCAAGAAGGAGGCACTAGAAGGCATTAAACCTGAAAAATTGGATGCATTTTATAACTGTGTTTCCACACTTATGTCAAATCAGGTAAATATGTTTTATATATCTTAAATAATAGTGTTTTTAAATTAGTTCAATATTTTAAATGAAATTCTACTTAAACAGTGCTAAGTAGTTATTTTGAAATAAAGAAAAATATTTTTACTATAATTTTCTTTAAATAACTTTACAGAAAAATATTTAGTTTCTGAACAGTCTAAAATGGTAAGAAAGTCTAAAAGCATGTGTCAATATTATGAGTGATTACATGCTTAAAAGTGCATAAGCTAGTTATCTATAGCTTTATTGGAATATGTTAACAAAAGGAATATCCTAGTAAACATATTTTTGAAATTATTAAGTTCCAAGTTGATTGATTCTTATTTTGTTCTCAGTAATATCTTGGTTCAAAATGTTATTGATCATCTTTAAATGACAAACAGAGAGCAAATATTAATTTTATGTGATTATATTTATGGGCTCCTCAAATTTTTACTATTGAAGACATCAATTCTAGAAAAATAGTTTTGAATAAAAACTTTCCTTTTTACCCTTTTGGTAAAGATCTCCAAAGTTTCTGTGAATTTTGCCTTGCATCTTTAAGAGAATAATATACTTAACATCTAGCATGTACCATTGTAACTAATGTACATGGTTTTCCTTCTGCCTTTACCCTCTTAAGAGGACTATGATTATTAGATAAGAAGTAAAGAGATGAGGAATGTTTTGAAAATCATTTAAGTCCATGTTTGTCTGCTGGGCTAAATTTTCAACATTTGTTTCTATATAAGAATGTAGTATTCATATATGTCAATATAAAAAGTTATTTAAATATATATTTCAAAAATAAAAAAGAAAGAAAGAATGCAATATTCATACTTTAGAAACTCATTGAACGTATTTCTAAGTTTCAGTGCCTTCACTTTGACCTAGCGATGTGCTGGAAATCTGGCTCTCCAGAAAAAAACTCCACCCTGATTTGTAATTTTTGCTGATTTCCGTGGTATAAATATTCCCACCATGGCAGATTTCAAGCTCCTAAGGATTTAGCAAGTGGCTCACAAAATTCTTGAATTTTGAACAATTGGCTCTTGTGACAATAGGAGCTAGCTCTAGCATACCACTACCCCATGTACATTTTGCCCCATTTTACCCTTAGCTTCATGTGTCAGGCCTACCCTACCTTCAGTCTTCACCATGTTTGTTTTTTTGGAATGTCTTCTGTACTAGGGACAATATTACTAAAGAATGTGGAAAGTTCTGAGTTGCCATTTTACGATTGTTGTTATTCTATTAAAAAATTAAGGTTCTGTTTATTTAAAAATAAATTTAATTAAAAAATAAATTGTTCTGATTATTGTTTTAGATTACATTTATTAAGAATATATTGTGCTATCAGAGCACCACCTTTTAACACCAAGGTCAAGGGTTTGGATCCCCTTACTGGCCAGTTGCCAAAAACAAACAAAAAAATAGTTAAATTTTAAAAAAAAGAATATATTGTGCCAAATAAAGATAATTTTTAGGACTAAATGATTTAATTATAGACAATAGTTCACTATTTTAGTTGAAGGTTGAATTTGTACTTCCTAAGATAATTATAATTTATGTTGTTATGCAGTTAAAGGATCTCTTAAGGAGAACTGTAGAAGGATTTGTAAAACTGTTTGACCCACAAAATCAAAAAAGTCTGCCAATATTTAAGATGGAATTGACATTTGATGAAGATAAAATAGAATTTTATCCTACCTTTCAAGATTTGGAAGATGTTGTTTTAGGTTTGGTAGAGCGAATAGCTGAAGCTCTGAAGGTATTACATCATCCTTTCCCCACTGAGTTTCTTTATTTGGCTCTTTTTCATAATTTTAAATTGTTTGAGTCAAATCTTTATGAAATGTATACATATGTAATATGTTTTAACTCTTTGTTTTATTTTTCTCCCCCAAGTTATTTTAAATTACAAAGGGCTTTTTCTTTGAAAAAGTCTCCTGGCTAGAGATGACATTTTCTTCTTTTTTAGAACTTTTCTTGTAGTTATGAATTGATATATCTGTGTATGTTTCATCTCCCCTACTGAGTTGTAAGCTTCTTAAGAACAAGATCAAACTCATACTTCTAAAGCTTTTTAGTATAATCACTTTGACATTATATTTATTCAGTAAATATTTATTGAATGATGGAAAACTAACCCAACTTAAGTTTTATGTCAAACTATAAACTATACAATTTAAAATCATTGTATTGCATCACTATTTTTCTTGGACCATTAAAATCTAAAAAAGAATGTTTACAAAGATAGCATAAGATCTACATATAGACCAATTGCACAATTGGATATTAATTGCATAAATTATTGTTATTTGTGTTAGAATGTCCAAACAATACCCTCTTGGCTATCAGGAACTTCCACACCTGTAAATCTTGACACAGAACTTCCTGAACACGTGTTACAGTGGGCTCTTAGTACACTGAAGGTGGCGGTACATCAGAACTTAGAAGGTGCAAGAAAACATTATGAGATGTATGGTATGTATGACATGTATAACATTATGTATACCTTTTTTCCCATCATTTCATTTTTACTAGAATTTGGTCAGATATTTGGTTTTCTGGGACTGTCATGAAAGAGCAGGGAGAACCAGAAAGGAGCATAGGCATGGCTTTTGGCAAAGTCAAGCATCAAACCCAAGAATTTTGAATTTTGTTGTCTCGTGTAAAGAGTGAATGTTAGCTGGAGCAGGGTGATAGTCAAAAGATAGAAAGAAGAGACGTTGGAATAAGGAGGAAGCTAAATCAAAGGTAAAAGCAAGATAATTTCTGAGGATAGATTTGAAGAGCCTGCAGCCCAATTTTATTTGTCTGTTGTCTCCTCAAGTGTATGTGATGGATAGTTGTTATGTGACATTCTGTTAACCAAAATTTTGTATTAACTGGCATATCTGTACCTCTAAGTTATTTTAAGAGCCTCATATACACTATTACTTTTATTTAAAAATTTCCGAGCTTAACTTGGTTTGCTTTTTAAGTCTCTTTTATTTTATTCTACCTATACCTTTAAAATGTAGTAATCCAAGTATGTTAATACTCTATTAATAATATTTAATTGAGTAGACTACCTTATTTCATGATCATAAAAAAGCACTTTACCTTTTAAAAGGTTATTATTGGAATTTTAATTAGATTATTAATTTTCAGTTGAAAAATATAATTGGCTCCTTGATGGGACTGCAGTTGAAATGATAGAAGCTTTCCAGGCAGAAGATCATACTTTTGATGAATACACAGAGGTAAGTGGTAATTCTGTTTTTATTAATGCCTTTTGCATTTCTTTTAAAATTAGGATCTTTTTATTCTGGAAAACAAATGTTTCAATTAAAGTAAGCAGAATTTCTTATTCAAAACATCATTTTAATTGACTCATTTGTTCACCTCATAATTTCTTTAGGCATTCATTTACTCATTCATTGATTCAACAAAAATTTCCTCATCACATTCAGACATTTAGGAAGATGTTGGCAGTGCAAAAGTAAATAATACATAAACACTGTCCCAAGAAGCTTATATTTGGCCTGGAAGTCTGACATAGAACTTACAACTATAGTATATTGCAATAAGTACTGAAATGGAGATGTGGACAAAGTGTTCTGGGAACACAGAAGAGGCAATGATTGCTTTTTTGCTTTGGAAAATTGGTGAAGGTTTCATGCAAGTGAAAAGTGAGCTAGAATTTGAAGTAGATGTTTATAAATGGAAAAGGAAAGGAATGTAGCATGAACAATGACCAAAAGTGTTCAAACATATTCAGAGAACATCAAATAAACCAAAATACCTAAAGAATAGGTAATAGGAATAAAGTACATGGCAGATTTAGAACATGAAAAAGTTGGAAATGTAAGTTAGAGACACATAGGAAAATCTTGGGATATCTTTGCTCAAGAGTTTGGACTTTGTTGTGATGGTTTTTAGCTATGGAAGTAATATACTTGAATCTGAGTTTTAGAATGATTCTGGCAGCAGCAGGGAAAAAGCCATTGAATGAGAAAAGACTCCTACCTCCTCTTTCTATTGGTTAGAATTAGATATTACACTTCTTGCTGTATAACGGAGACACAAAAAGATTACTCAAAGCAACATGAATGTGATGAGAAGCGCAAAGGGACTGCACCTCAGCACCTCCTCTGTTAGAAGGAGAAACTGGGTACAGCCCCAAGTCGGTTTTTGCTTCAGTTTTTATTGTAAAGACAAGGAAATTACAGGATAAAAACAGATGGTTGATCAATTATAGTAAGAACATAAAGAAATTGGCTATGTACCAATCTTCATCCAAGAATGCATGGTTCAAAATAGTTTAAACAATATACCATCAAAAGAGTCATAAATCTAAGCTATGTGACATGCAAAAGAAACAATAGGATAATCATTAAAGTGCCTGACTTCTTGAGAAACTCAAAGAAACAGCTTAAAGCAAAATGTGGAACAACCCCCATGTACTGACTAATCTAGGAGAATGTCCTTGGAAATCTTAACTCACATATTTTCCCATCATTTAAGTTTTGTCGTATTAAGGGTTATTGCCCTCAGAACAATCCCTGTTTTGCTTCAGTTCTCTTGTTTACATTAAAGGCTTTAGACCTGTGTGAGTTTCCTTCTTACAAAGTCTTCCAATGAACCCATTATATTAACAATCAGTGTATACAATCCCTTACCTAAACAGTGATTAGAATCAATTCAGTGGCTCTTGCCCTCTAACTGTAGGCTCTTGCCTACTGTTCGAGGACTTTTGTCCCGTACATGCATTACCTAAAAACCCTATATTAAAAATCAACTGAGGGCCGGCCCGGTGGCGCACTGCTACAGTGCGCCGCTTGGGAGCATGGTGGCGCTCCCGCCGAGGGTTCGGATCCCACATACAGACCGGTTCCCGCTCACTGGCTGAGCGAGGTGCGGACGCAACACCGAGGGTTGCGATCCCGTTGCCGGTCCCAGTCCGGTACGGGCACGACACTGAGGGTTGCAATCCGTCGCCGGACACGAAAAAAGACAAAAAGGAAAAAAAAAATCAACTGAGAATCAACATATACTTGATTAGAATTGGTTCAGTGGGCTCTTGCCCCCTAGCTGTAGGCTCTTGCCTCATATCTGAGGACTTTTGTCCCATACATGCATTACCTAAAAACCCTATCTAATAACCAAATAGGAATCAAGATTTCTAACCCTCTACAATTAGATTTGTGTTTCTCCATCTTCTCCTTTTCTATTGACTGTTTAAATTTTATTTTTAATGTATAATTTATTTTTTCTAATATTTAATTATGAAAATTTTAATCATACAGAGAAGTCGAAGGAATTTTACAGAGAATAACTCCTAGATTCTAGGTTTACTATGTTTGCTTAATCACATATTTATTAGTCCACCCCTTTTTCCTTCCTTGAGTAATTTCAAGAATGATTAACTTTTTAAAAATCAACTTTCTTGAGGTTTAGTTTACATACAGTAAAATGCACCTGATGTCAGAGACGCAGGTTCTTGGATTTCCCAATGGAAGAATCCTGTCAAGAACCCACAATAACTTTAAGCTCACACAGCAGAGTCACATTCACACTGAAAGTTTATTGCAAAGTGAAAGTACATGGAGAAGAGTGTGCAGGCATTTCCTCATGAGTGGGGAGTGCTCTTAAGGAATTCTTAGGGAAGGGTTTATATGTTCTGGGGTGAGAGTGTTTCTTTGTCTTAACTAAGGGGAGGAATATTCAAGAAAATTGGAAAGGAAAGGGTATTTGGTTCCTTTATGGGCAAACTCTTTTCTGAGAATCAAAGAAAAAGGGGGGTTTTGTACTTTGTGGTTTTGTTTCCTGCTCAGAAAATCACAAGGCTCTGAAGCAGGGTGAGCTGATCAGTAGAGTGGTTAAGTGTTGCTAGCTGGTGTCAGCTTGAGCAGCCTGAATATCCATGAGCAACTTCCCTGGGCAAGTCCCTGTTCTATCCTGCTTCACACCTATTTCAATTGAACAGTCAGATGAGCTTTGACAAATGTACACACCTGGGTAACCATCACAAGTGTCCTTGTACCTCGTCTTAGTTAATTCATCCCAACACTGACCTCGGGCAACTGCTCATGTGCTTTCTGTTACTATAGATTAGATTTTTCTTTTCTTTTTTTTTTCCTTTTTGTCTTTTTTCGTGACCGGTAATGGGATCGCAACCCTCAGTGTCGCGCCCGTACCGCAACCGGCAATGGGATCGCAACCCTCGGTGTCACGCTCTCACCGCGTTCAACCAGTGAGCGGACCGGTCTCTATATGCGATCCGAACCCTCGGCGGGAGCGCCGCTGCACTCCCAAGCGCCACACTCTACTGAGTGCACCACCAGGCCGGCCCAGATTTTTCTTTTCTAAAGTTTTATATAAATACAATCATACATACATACTCTCTTGCATCTGTTTTTTTTATTTGCATAAAGTTTTTGAGATTTGTCTATGTTGTCTGTATCAGTAGTTCTTTTTTTATTGCTGAGTAGTATTTCACTGTATGAATATATGATTTGTTTATTCATTCATCTTTTTTCCTTTTTGTCTTTTTTCGTGTCTGGCAATGGATCGCCCGTACCGGACCGGGACCGGCAACGGGATCGCAACCCTCAGTGTTGCGTCCGCACCTCGCTCAGCCAGTGAGCGGGAACCGGTCTGTATGTGGGATCCGAACCCTCGGCGGGAGCGCCACCATGCTCCCAAGCGGCGCACTGTAGCAGTGCACCACCGGGCCGGCCCCTATTCATTCACCTTTTGATGGACGTTTGGGTTGTTTGCAGTTTTTGGCTATTATGAATAAAATTATTATGGTCTTTTGTATACAAGTCTTTGTGCATACATATGTTTTCATTTCTGTTCCTAGTAGTTGGGTTGCTGGGTGGTATGGGAAATACATGTTTAACTTTTTAAGAAACTGCTAAATTTTCTCAAAGTAGATTACATTTACAATCTTACCAGCAGTATATGAGAGTTCCAGTTCTTCCACATCCTTTCCAACATTTGAGATTATCAGTCTTCTTAACTTTGGCCTTTCTCCTATGTGTATATTGATATCTAATTGTGATTTTAATTTGGATTTCCCTGATGACTAGCGATGTTGAACATCTTTTAATGTGTACTTTCCATCTGTATATCTTTTTTTTTTTTTTTTTTGTCTTTTTGTCTTTTTCCGTGTCCGGCAACGGATTGCAACCCTCAGTGTTGCCCCCGTACTGGACCGGGGACCGGCAACGGGATCGCAACCCTTGGCGTTGCCCCCGCGCCTCGCTCAGCCAGTGAGCGGGAACCGGTCTGTATGTGGGATCCGAACCCTTGGGCGGGAGCGCCGTTGCTCCCGTGCCTCGCTCAGCCAGTGAGCGGGAACCGGTCTGTATGTGGGATCCGAACCCTTGGGCGGGAGCGCCGCCGTGCTTCCCAAGCGGCGCACTATCCAGTGCGCCACCGGGCCGGCCCCTGTATATCTTTTGAAAAATAAATTGTCTCTTCTAATAGCTTGCACATTTTAAATTGGGTTTTTATATTTTATTGCTAAGCTATAATGGATGTATTTTAGTGAGCTATATTATTATAATAACTGTTATCATCGAGTTTTCAGAGTTCTTGTTATATTCTGGGTAAAAGTCCTTTATCTGAAATATGTTTTGCAAATGTTTTCTCTCAGTTTGTGCCTTGAGTTTTCATTTTTTATGACAATATCTTTTAAGGAACAGACATTTTAAATTGTAATGAATTCCAGTCTATCAATTTTTTCTTTTAAGTTTCATGCTTTTTGTGTCTAATCTAAGAAATCTTTTCCTACTGTGTGATCATAAAGATTTGCTCCTATGTTTTCTTCTAGAAGGTTTATAGTTGTAACTTTTACATTTAGGTCTATGACCCCATTGTAAGTTAATTATTGTATGTGGTGTGGAATTTAGGTCATAGTTTAGTTTTTTTCATGTGAATATATAGTAGTTCCAGCACCATTTATTGAAAATGCTATATTTTCCCCATTAACTTATCTTGGCATCTTTGTTGAAAATCAATCAACTCTATATTTGTGGGTCTATTTCTAGATTTTCTGGTTTTTTCAATTGATTTATCTACCTGTTTTTCTGCCAGTACCACACTGTCTTGATTTCTGTAGTTTAATGATAAGTTTTAAAATCAGGTAATGTAAGTACATCAACTTTGTTTTTTTTTTTTTAAATTAGTTTGACTCTTCTAGGTCCTTTGCATTTCCATATACACTTTTAAGGACTGTCAATTTCTAAAAAAGCCAGCTGGGATTTTGATTAGAATTGCACTGAATCTCTGAAACAATTTGAGAATAATTACCATCTTAAAACTGAATCTTTCAATTCATGACTACAGTGTATATTATTTCAATTTGTTTGGACCTTCTTTAATTTCTCTCAATAATGTTTTACAGTTTTTATTTTACAGGTCTTGCAAATATTTTGCTAAATTTATCTCAAAATATTTTAGGCTTTCATGATTTTCTTGTAAATGGTATTGTTTTTAATAGCAATTTTCATTTTCATTGCTATTATATAGAAATACAGTTAATTTTTTGTATATTGATCCTATATCTTGAGAACTGCTAAACTCACTTATTGGTTCTGATAGCTATTTTATTTATTTTATTTATTTATTTTTTTGGTGCCTGGCCGGTACAGGGATCCGAACCCTTGACCTTGGTGTTACAAGGTGGCACTCTAACCAACTGAGCTAACTGGTCAGCCCTCTAATAGCTATTTTTAAAGATTCCTTAGGATTATACACACATACACACACACATACACACACACACACAACCTGCAAATATAGTTTAAAAAAATTTTTTTTTAATTTTAAGTTAAAAATTTGTTTTTGTTTTTGGCCACAAAATAAGTCTTAATACATTTTAAAAGACTTAGGTCATAGAAAATATGTTATCTAACCACAAAAAGAGAAGAAATTTGGGAAATTCTCAAATGTGTGGAAATTAAACAACACTCTCCTAAATAAACAATAGGTAAAAAGAAATATCACAGGGAAATTAGAGAATGCTTTGATATGAAAATCACAGTGCCACATAACCAAATTTATAGGATTTAGGGCAGTGCTTAGAGGAAAATTAATACTTGTAATCACCTATATTAAAAATAAGAAAAATCTCAAATCATTAATGTAAACTTCTACCTTAAGAAAATAGAAATAGAAGAGCAACCTAAAACAAAAGCAAATATAAGTAGGAAATAACAAAGATACTACAGAAATATGTGAAATAGAGAATTTTAAAAAAATAGAGAAAATCAACAAAACCAAAAGTTGACTCTTTAAAAAGATCAACAAAATTTGCAAACTTTTATCTAGACTGACCAAGAAAAAAAGATAGAAGACCAAAATTACTAAAATAGAAGTAAAGCAAGGACATTATTACTTTGTCATTATAGTTTTTTGTGGTGGTAAGATTTAGTTTCTTTTCTTTCTTATTTGTATTTTTGTTCTACCAGTGTGTTTTGTTCTTTCTTGTGTGTTTGTAGTAATGATTATTGTTTTTTGGAATTGTATTAGTCTGTTTTTGTTGCTATAACAGAATACCTGGAACTGGATGATTTATAAAGAAAAATGATATTTATTGCTAACAGTTTCTTAGGCTGGGAAGTCCAAAGTCTAGGGAACACAGCTGGTGAGGGTCTTGGTGTGGGCAACAGAGACCTAGTGGTCTCTCATTGCAAGATGGTGGAAGCAGAGAGAGCAAGAGAGAGAGAGAGAAAGACAAACTCTCCTCTTCTTTTAAAGCCCTCAGAACCACACCCCTGACCACCATTTTTAATCCATTCTCTACTGCATGATCCTACAATCCAATCACCTCTTCAAGGTTCCACCTTTTAAGTACCATAATAGGATTTCCCACCCTCTTAACAGTCATGGTGGGGGCTAAGTTTCTAATACATAAAACTTGGGGAACACAATTCAAGCTTCAAGTTTTGCCAGGACATAATTCAATCCACTACATTCCGCCCCTGGTCCCCCAAAACTCATGTCCTTTTCACATACAAATAAATCTATTCCACTGCCAAAGTCTTAACTCGTTTCAACTCAAATGTCCAAATTTCAAAGTCCCATCTGTTGAAATCAATACAAGTTAACTACTCCCAAGATATAATGGTGTGACAAACATAGGGTACATATTCCTGTTCCAAAAGGGAGAAATAGGCCAAAAGAAAGGAGAAACAGGTCCCAAACAAGTCTGAAACCCAGCAGGGCAGGCATTAAATCTCAAAGCTGGTGAATATTGTAACTTGACCCCATGTTCAATGTCCTCTGCATGCTGGTGTGGGGATTGGGTCTCCAAGTCCTCTGGCAGCTCCGCTCCTATGGCTTTCCTGGTCTGAGGCTACACTTCAGCTCTCCCATGCTGGTGTTCCATTCTGGTAGCTCCACAAATCTGGGGTCTCCATGGTGGTCCTGCTCTCACACCTCCATTAAACATGGCACTGATGGAGTTTCTCTGCTGCAACTTCCACCCTGCATTTCCATGTGGGTGGAGGCTCCCAAGTCTTCCCAGCTCTGGCATTCTGTGAGCCTGCAGACCTTACACCATGTGGATTCTGCCAAGACTTCTGGCTTATATTTTTCAAAGCTGTGGTTCCAGCCACACCTGGGGCCAATTTAGCCACAGCTGGAGCAGCCAAAACAGCTGGGGTGCTGGTGCTGGAAGCAGCTTCTTGAGTTGGTCCTGGGCAGCAAGCCCATGGAGGGTGCCTCAGGCCTGTTCCCCAAGACCATTTTGTCTCCCTGGGCCTTTGGGCCTGAAATGGAAGGGTTGGCCACAGAGGATTCTGCACTGCTTTCAGGGTCTTTTCCCCCTTCTCTTGATAATCTCTTTCTTTTGTTTTAATCTTCTTAGCTAATGGTCACTGGGCTGCATCATTGCATGCTCTCTGCTTCTCTACCACATGGCCAGGCTGCAAATTTTCCAAATCTTTACACTCTGCTTCTCTTTTAAATTATTGCTTTATGTCGTGCCTTTGCCACCATAACTCAGTGTAGGCTGTTGCAAGTACTCAGGCATCTTCCTTAATGCTTTGTTGCTTAGAAATTTCTTCTGCCAAGTACTCTAGTTCACAACTCCTAAGTTCCAACTTCCACAAAGTGCTAGGGCATGGACTGAATGCATCCAAACTCCTTGCCAGTTCATAGCAAAGTTGATGTTTACCCCAGTTTCCAATAAATTCTTCCTTATTTCTATCTGAGACCTCCTTAGAATGGTCTTTACAGTCCGTATTTCCATCAGCATTCTGCTTGCCACCACGTAACCAGTCTTAAGACATTCCAAACTTTTCCTTGTCTTTTTGTCTTCTTCTGAGTCCTCCAAATTCCTTCAACCTTTCTTCAACACCCAGTTTCAAAGCCGTTTCCACATTTTCAAGTATTTGTTATAAGCAACACCCCACTTCTCTGGTACCAATTTTCTGTATTAGTCTATTCGTGTTGCTATAACAGAATACCTAAGACTGGGTGACTTATAAAGAAAAACAACATTTATTGTTTACAATTTCTGAGACTGGGAAGTCCAAAGTCCATCTGGTGGTGGCGACAGTAACCCAGGCATCTCACGTTGCAAGATGGTGGAAGCGGAGAGAGCAGAGAGAGAGAAAGACAGACTCTCCTCTTCTTAAAAAACCCTCAGGCTCTCTCTGTTCTCTCTGCTTCCACCACCTTTCAGTGCGAGGGGTCACTGTTGCCACCACAGATGTATTCCTTGGACTTTGGACTTCCCAGTCTCAGAAACTGTAAGCAATAATTTCTATTTTCTTAAAAATTACCCAGAGAGGACCAGTCAAGATGGTGGAATAGACAGTCCCCAACATCACTCTCTCACAAATCAAACCATTTACAACTATAAAAATGTAACATCAGCCAAGCTGGGGC